CATGTTTGTTGGAAATGATTTCCAGGTTCGTGCCTCCATAGGCACGGCTTTAAAAATAGCATCTCCCTAGCCACGGAAATTAGGAACGGGCTCCACATCTCCCATGGTTGCTAAAAAAAGCAAAAAAGAATGAAATTAGAAAAGGAGTTGAAATAAAAAAAACAGATACGGTAAGGAAGAAATACTTACGTGCAAGGTTCCATTTCTCAGGAAAAGGAATATTTGATTCACCCACCAAACCAACTGTGGGTACCGCAACGTAACGGGTGTACCAGCCTCGATCTTTATCATCTTCAGGGCTTACCAAAACCCTTTTACTTCTTGCAGTTAGGGTAAAAACACCATTGCGGAACAGCTTGGGGTGGTAAAGATGAATTAGATGGGAGAAGGTAAAGTCAACATCAGCCTTGGCCGATACATACCTTAAACAAGCCACTGCTCTCCATACGAGGGGGCCAATTTGAGCCAAACAAATCTTGAAAAAACGACAGAAATCGAGTATGACTGGGTCGATAGCAGGAATAAATTCCAAAGTAAAGGGGTAAGTATAAACAAAGGAAAAACCAATCCTATAAGAAGAAATTCTCTGGTTTGGGTTAGGAATAACTATACGAAGGTCATCTCTCCAACGACAATCTTTTCGAACAGTGGAAATCAAGGGTTCAGTAATTAAAGAAGGATAGGTGTCAATTACATGGTCACGAAAGGATTCTTTATCATGCTCGAAAGATAAGTCGGTTGGCACTATTTCTTCAACCAAAGGTTCTTAAATAGGCTCAGAAGATTCTTTGCCTTTAGAAGAGGATCTCTTAGTGAAAGAACCTCTAGAAATAGTGCCAGAAGAAGGAGTGATGGAATCAGAAGTACCACCACGAATGGACCCTAGGCCACGAAGCCTACCTCCTCTACCTCTTCTGTGTCTTACAGGGGCATTGGGGAAACTGTCAAGAATTGGGACTCTCCTAGGGTTAGGATTCGAAGATGACATGGTAAAAAGATGTGAACTGAGGAAGAAGTGAATAGGAGTAAATAGTGAAATACTTGGTAAAAGTTTGTGGAGAAGAAGACAAGGGAAAAAGGGTTAAGTTTATATATAAAAGCAACCGTCAAAGATTAAGGAGTGTAATGATGGAAAGTCTATAATAAAGGCAACTATCACTTCGTGAATAGTGGAGTTGAAGAAGCCTTGAAAAAAAAGAGAAGCTGCAGAATTGCAGAGCTAATAAGAAGGTGACACGTATGCAGTGCATTAAATAGAAAAGACAACTGAAGCGTCAGTACTGTCATAGCATTGATTATGGCAAAAATTCCTTTTTTAATGAAGATCCACTTCCCAAATATTTAATTGATAAATAAATAGAAAGTGAGGGGACTATCTGTATTGGAAAAAAACTGAATTTATATAAGATGACGTGTCATGACACGTGGACCGGTAAAATAGTCAAAGCGTGGTAATCAGTTAGAAGGCACGAGCAACAACAGATGCGGGAGAGAAGATACTTAAAGGCACGAGCTATTATTCAAATGAAATGAGACTCGTACCTGTTCGAGTCATTTAAAGCTCGAAGATCGGAAGGAATTGAAGAAATGAATCTGATAGCGTAAAGGAGTCCAAATTCAGCATTAAATGCCAAATACGTTGAGAGAATTTGTATTTAATAGGAATGATTGAGTAACGTTTCTTTTAATGTCATTTATTGCTCATAATTGCTTCATTAAGACAAAGACATTACACTTTCTCCTAGAATTAACTATAAAAGGGGAAGGTCTCAACATCTGTATGACACGAAATATCATTGAGATTATACTGAAATATATACTTATTCATTGCTTTATTGTTGTTCTCAAAGTCTCTCATTTCTTGATTATCAGTAACCCGATTTCTCTTTTAATTTCTAGCTTTAACCAAATATTCAGTTTTTTTGGTTAAACAGAGGTAATCTCCATAAGTCCCAGCATTGTTGCATGTCTCAACGAAGTGCGCCACATGTTGCTTTGGATTGTCTTTACCATCAAACTGTTGAAATTTTAGAGGTTGATAGCCAGCAGGCATCTTCAACATATCGATCCTTGAAGTGTACGACTTTGCGTAGGTAAAGGAGGACTTGGAAGCGACTTCATATTTGTGTTTTATAGTCCCTTCAATGAACTCCTTTAGTTGATCTATTGGAATCATCCCTTCCGAAGAGACTGGAATTTCCTTAGTGGATGCAACTTGTCGTGGAGGAGGATCAATCTCTTGAACTTCTGGGAGTTTGCCAGGTGCATGGGTGGATTCTTCTTCCATCAAGATTCCCATCCTGTATGTTAGCTTGTCAATTCTAGCATCTTGATTTTGCATGTATTTGGTCAAGCTAGCGATTGCTTCCGTCAAGATTGCCAACTGCTCCTCCACAGATGAAGTGTTTGTCACCATAGCTTGCATGATTGTTGTGGACGATGGAGAGTAGCATGGATTGTCACACAGATTGATCCTTGGTTGGCTCATGCTATGTGGTGTAAGTGGGGAGGATCCATCACTTGAAGCATCATCATCTTCCTTCACAGCAGAGTGCTTGGATCCGGAGAGGTCAAGCAGAGTAAGAGTTTTCTTGATCTTTTCAGCAACATCGCTTCCTCCTTCGGGTGGGTTTGTGGAAGATCTTGCTCCTTTTGAGGATGAAGATCCGAAAACAGGGGTAGATGCGGACGACACTTGGGGTGCTTGTTGTCCTAACGAGCTTGCTTTGCTCCTCGTAACTGGTCCGAAGCTTCCAAAGGTAACTTCGAGTATGTTTTCCACATTAGCATAAAACCTGGAATTAGCAGTCTTGGTGGAAGTTGAACTGGAGTTGATTTTCTTTAAAGCCATTTCGATGTTTTCGAACTTTGATGATTTAAAAACTTGAGATGAGAGATAGAGATTGTCCCACCATTCGGAGAACTAAATTGTCTACGAACAGCACTGTATCTAGTTGCAATACACACAGCCCGAGACAAAGCACTGGAAGCATCTGCTACAATTGTTTTACGAACATATACCATGGTCCCATAAAGGAGTTGTCGGGGAACATCAGATTGGATATATTTTCCTCCCCTTGTAACTTGCGAAACCCTCATCAGCATTTGATCTCTTGGAATGGGCACATGATCAAATCTTAATACCCCACTATCCATAGTATTGTATGCCCCGTTTCCAAATTTCATTCCAATGTCTCCAACAGTAACACCTGGAAGAGGTTTGTGGTCCTCCAAGCTTCGTAGTTGAACAATAAAACCATTAATCCCATAGTCATTACCATTTGTTATAAGACGAGCATACAGAACAGCATGGGTAGAGACTTTACCCAATCCACCAGGCCACCACTTGCTTGATGTCAATGTAGGACTATGAATGACAAATTCATCTGTTTGAGGATCAAATGTGGCAGTGCTCTCAAGGCCTTGCACATTGGACCCATGTCCAAGTTCAGTTTGAGCGTAGCACCCAATTATTTGCATCTTATAGGCCAACGGTAACCACTTTTTCTGCTGTTCATCTGTGCCCTGTCCTTTTATGGCCGGTATGTTCTTTTAGGTTGACTTCTAATCAAGCGATTGTTCTTTCGAGTACAACTGGGCGTGTCAATTTGTTTGCAACTAATTTTCAACATATAAAAAATAAATTGCAATTACAAAATAAGAGAAAAATATTTTTACTAATCAATTGTGAGTACAATTCTGTTTCTCCCTTGATTCTTCTCTTCTGATTATCTCCGTGATTCGAGGGCTGAAGCAGCGTATTTCTCGAATGTAGGATGATGCAGACTTCTTGGGGATGTATTTGATCTCCAGCTTCTTGAACTATTTGATTGTCAAGAAGTATCCGGCCATAATTTGATCTCTTTGTGAATATCCCAAGAGTTTATGGGATTTTGAGATATCATGTTTGATCTCTTTGTGCATATTCCGAGAGTTTATGGAATTGTTGAGATCCTCTTTGAAGGACTTAAATAGCCTTATGTATAGGTCTGAATTAGGGTTTGGATGGAGTAGCCACCAAGTAACCCTAATAGACTCCTAATATTTCAAGAGTCGTTTTGAATTTAGGATTTATCTTAAAGTGTTAAAATTTCAGTGTCTACATTATCATTATGTGATAAATATGTGCATGCAAAATATAAATCTTAAATATATTGATTTGATATAAACATTAAGTACGAATAAAATTTTACGAATAATTCCGGAGAAAAAAGCTTTGAAGAAACTACGTCATAATTTTTAAAACCCAAAGCAACTCAAATAACAATACTTCCTCTGGACACCGGTCCACAATAAGTGATTTTTTTTGGTTGTTTTTACACCGATTAAGAATTCTACCTTTTAATTAATTAGCAATAAAATTGACCGTATTAACCTTTACTATATCTTCACATAAACACTCCTAACACATACTCCAACACTATTTTCTCCAAGGGCAATGTAGGAAAAAAAAATAATTAATTCATTCTTGTAATCTGAAAATATCATATATTTTGGACCATCAAAAAAACGCCAAAAAATCACTTATTGTTGACAGAAAGGAGTAGTTTACAATGATTGGTACAAATACTTCCAAAAACATTTTTCAAAACATATTTTTGAAATTTTTTATTTCTACAAAAACAAGATCAAATCCAAAACCTCCAAAAAGAATTTTTGAATTCCATTGGTCATGTTTTGGATCTCCAAATGCCTTTTATGGATGAAAACAGCTCCAATGTTTTTCTTTTCATCTTGCAAATATTTGAAAATTAAGATTTCAAAGACTTCCAAGCGAACACAGTTTTGCGAATTTTTTGTTTCCAGTTTTTTAAAAAGAAGTGGTCAAACAAACGCCACCATTTAAATTAATGGTATATCATTTGTTTAATTTATATAAAATTTTTGAACTAATTTTAAACACTTGACATGATTTCATGTTTAATAAGACATTTCAGTCAGACGACTAACTTTTAAACTACTTTATTAAGACTTTCTTCCACTATTACTAAAATAAATATAATAAACATCATAAACTGAATATTAGTCAAATACTATCATAAATAAATGAAACATAAGAAGTATAAAATATTTCATAAAAACCCAATGAAAATACAATTTAGTAAAGGAAAGAATTTTACTAGTAAACCTTTTTTTTTTCTTTTCCATGTACTAGTAAATCTACTTCTACTTTCCTTAGAAGCCATATACCTCTAGTCTACCAAAAAGAAAGTCCCGACAATATCTCAAAGTTCCCAAAGTTAGAATGAATTTAGTAATAAATAAAAGGATTGATAAAGTAAGGAAAATTTACCTATCACTATAATTTATCTAATTATAGTAGATTATCATTCTTTTTCTAAGGTTGTCATATTTAACTTGATATTAAAAGTTACATACAATTTTCGGTCAAAATATATCCAATAATATAAAAATTTATATATACATTGAGAACACACAAAACTTAAACTTTAAGTGATCATTTGGTAAGATATATTATGAAAAACGATATATGTATTACCTTTGGTATTACTATTAATTCCTTATTTAGTACTGTTTTTCATCTTATGTATATATTAGTTATATATCATATTTTAGTACTCTTTCTATTTCAAAAAGATTGGCACTATTTCTTTCTTAGTCCGTTCCAAAAAGATTGGTACCTTTCAGTATTTTCTTAATATGAAGTATTTATAGCTACATAAATGATATTGTAGGTTTCGGACCATAACTTGTAAAAGTTTTACAGTCGCATAAATACAATAGCTTATTTAAGATCACATATCTCAAAAGTCTTCCATTCTTTATCAAAGTTTGTGCCTAGTCAAACTAAGACAATCTTTTTGAAACGGATGGAGTGCTATTTTTTTTTATACATAACAAGCTACTCCCTCCGATCCAAAATAAGTGATTTTTTGGCCTTTTTCTTGTGGTCCAAAATAAGTGATTTTTCCAGATTTCAAGGATGAATTAATTATTTTTTTCCTACATTGTCCTTGAAGTAAATAGTGTTGGAATATGTGTTAGGAGTGTTTATGTGAGATAGTAAAGGTTAATATGGTCAATTCCATTAGTAATTAATGCTAAAAGGTAGATTTCTTAATCTGTGTGAAAACATCCAAAAAATCACTTATTTTGGACCGGAGGGAGTATGACATTAGCAATACCATGATTTAAGGAAGGGAAACTTACACAAATGTCCCAAATAAATCTCAACTTACCAACCTCTAGCCATTAGTTATAGACTTACTAAAACTAGCCAACAAAAATTGAAAAACCAAATAATAGGGTTCTTTCTCTCAAAGAATCACATGCAAAAATCACCTTCCATATTTTTAAGCGTAATTAGCAACACTAGATACAAGACGGAAAGAAAATTTCACGGATGAGATAGCAAATAAGGTGATGAAATACAAAAATATATACAATATTCCAAAAATCTAAACAAAAAGGAACTTTTTCAATGGGTATAGTTGAAATTCATTGAAAATATATAGATAAGTCAATATACAAATTTTGAGGAAGATTGGAGGTGATTTTGACTGGTTTTGTATCAAAATTCGTAATTAAATCGAGTTCAAAAAAGTCTTCTGCGACACTGTATCAAACATGTATCGCGCATGTATCTCACACACAGGTATACATGGATATACATGTGATACATAATTGATACACAAATGATATACAGTGTGATACACAAATGATACACAGTGTGATACACATATCATTTTTTTTCATGTTCAGTTTTTACTTCGAATTTTCAATTCAAACCACCTCAAAACTTCACCAAATCATCCCAAAACTGAGATTCAAGCTCCTTAAGTTGTGCCCAATCTATTCTAATAGCACCCACTCAAAACAAAGCAAAAATTTGATGTTTTTTTGCTACAAATAGCTAATTGGCTAATTTGGCTAATATTAGTAATATTTTATCAATCGGTCAATTTTTTTAATGAGCTCCTTATAAATGGACATAGCTGGTAATTTCCCTTTAAGGAAGAATTACATGAAAATACAGTTGACCCAACATCATAACAAAAGTTGGCCCATGATTTTAAATTTTACCCGACCTAGCGTATGTTGTATATATCTTGGAAGTGATTCTATCGTCGCCGGCAAACAAACTCGTCAAGATCGGAAACACAAGCAGCCACCTCTGGTCTGTATTGTTTTCTTTTCTTTTCGCTTCTGCGAGAGGAATCATAAAATTTTGATGAGATGTAATTTGCTTAACTGAAAATTAAGTTGTTGATGTTGTAAGAAAATTGCAACCCTGTGTGACCTGGTTACAATGTAAGAAAATTGAAGAGTAGAATCCACCATTGACAAAGCTCCATTTTTGAAAATAGGATTTTTTTGATTTTGTTAATTGTTTGGATTGAGTGTTGTTCCAATTGATTGAAAATATCAAAATGAGCTCAAAATTTAAATTTGAAGTGATTTGGAGTAGATTTGAGTAAGATTTGAGTAAAATTTCAGTAAAGACGCACGGAAAAACACGAAGTCGATTTTTTGTATAATTATGTATAACCTTGTATAATAGTGTATATGGGTGTATATACACATCTCATACACTATTATATACTTTTATACACCTTTATACAAGTGTCTGTAAATGAACTTCTTCCATGATTTTCAGTTGCAATTCTTATTCAAAACCAGTCCAAATCTCCATTAAATGACATCAAATTTTATATACGGTCTCCTTATGCTATTTCTAACAAGTATAAATAACACCAACTCCAAATTTCTCACAAAATCAAATTTGAAATTTAAACCCACATCTTTAAACTTATTAAAAATCTAATTTTCACCACCCAAATAGATTTGGTTTGTTGAACTCATATTTGAGTCACAGTTACTGATTCAAAAATTAACTTAAAAGCATGAGCAATCTTTTTTAAAAATTGAATAGTAATTTCGAGGACCTATTGGAGTTGGATGTTGAATCTTAGCTTATTAATTTTGGGCCAGTTGGTTGTAAATTTAAATATGAGCTATAAAATTAAAAAGTAGGGAGTCCAGTTGTTTTAATGTAAAATTTTCTCATTTTAATACATCGACAAAT